CAATATTTGTATTTAAATTTATGGGGCATAAATTAGAATATATTACATTTGTATAATGTATTGGTGTCTTGTCTATTGTCATTTTGCAAGTAACAAAGTGTATGGGTTATATAGTTGTATGTACGCTTATTTAGGTATTGATTAGTCTTTCGAGTGTTTTTACTTTTACCATGTAGATACTCTGGAAATGTGGCTCTAAATAAAGGAAGCTGAAATAATCTAGAAGTAATACAGAGGCAGCAAATTAGCAGGAAGTTTTCTTTATTTTGTGGTTATTTGAAGTTTAAGACAGTATTTACAACAGCTATCAAAAATAAATACACAGTTTGAAGACAGTTTAACTAAGTGGGATGGTTGCATGAGATGTCTTAAAAATCCTGTCTGTTCAAAGAGCCTCTTTGAGTATTCTCTCAGAGAAAACACTTAGAATTTAGGCAGTAGAAGCGTGCAAAATATAAGTGGAAACTAGGAATGATTAAACAGTACTCTTTTTTTTTAGCAGGTTTCTTAAAATTGAAATATAGTTGATGTACAATATTACATAAATTACAGTGATTCAGAGTTTTTAAGGTTAATACTTCATTTATATTCATTGTAAAAATTAGTACTCTTTTGGAAATTTGGAATAAAAACTTTTTCTGTGGACTTCTCATTGACTTCTTTTGATAGTAGGTAAGCGGAGAGCATACAGTTTAGTAATCTTAATACCATTCTGCTCTTTTGTTAGCGTAACAGAGCACTAACTTCAGTTGAGACCTGGAGTCTAGTAATGACTTGCTAACTAATAATTAGTCAAGTCTGTTAACCTGTTGACTATTTCTTCTTCGCTTGGGTCACTGACATGGTTCCGTTTTGGATTAATGTTGTTTATGTCTATCCCTTGTTTAGTGTACTATACTTGGTGGATTAACCTTTTCTGTGAAGTGCCAGTTAGTAAATATTTTAGGGTTTGTGGGTCATGTGGTCTCTGTCTCAACTGTTCAACTTTGAGGTTGTACAGTGAAAACAGCCATTGATAATGCATAAACAAATGGGAGTGGCTAGGTTCCAATAAAATTTTATTTACAAAAACTGGTAACAGGCTGGATTTGGCTCATGGGCTATTGCTGATCCATGCAGTGTCCTGTAAACTTCTTAAGGGCAGATCTCATATTTGACTTAATCTTTAATTGGTCACAGGGCTAGGCACAATCCTCTGTACTGTGTAAGTACTTACTGTTTGCTCTTTGCCAAATAGAGATAATGCTACCTTCTGTGGATTTCTTTTTGTGTTGTGTGAAAATTCTCTGTGAATAAAAGATAATAACCATTAACCTATAACAAATAAAGAGTAGTAAGGAGGAGGTCAGTTACAGTTGCTTATAATACGACTATGTACCTGGAAAACCCAGCAAGAATCAGGTGACAAACTGTTAGAAACAAATCAGAGAATTCAGTTTCAAAATGGAAATAAATTGCTTACCTACACAGAGAGGTACAGTGGGAAATTCAGAGGTTAGAGAGACTAGCTTAGAGTTACTAGGGAAAACTCCATGAGACTTGGTGAAGAAAGTTACACTTGAAGGATACTTTGTGCCCAGTTGTAGAAGATGATATGTATTTAATTCAGCGAAAGGTGGGAGAATAGCAATACTTCTAGAAGTGCAGAGGTGCATATGGTATTTTGATGATTGGAGTTGTGCTTTGAGAAGATTAATTAGGAAGCAGTGTTCAGGATGAGTTAGAGAGGGAAGAGGCAGGTGGGAAGTCTGTAGGCTAGGAGAGTGTTCAGGTGGGGAATCGGGGCATTATTGGAGATAGAAAGAATGAGATGGAATCTCATATTCATTTTTTTTTTTGAGTCTCATTCTGAAAAAGGATTTTGAGCCATAATTTTGGAGTACCACTGCAGATTTTGTTCTTGAAAAGTCATCATACATATTAGCATAGTAAAGATTCTCAGAAGACAATAGTAAAGAAACTGCAACTTGGTTTAATCTTACGAGTTTTAAACTTATTTGACCTTAGAACCCATCACATCGGAGAGAAGTTCTGAAAAACACACTTGGAGAATGTTTTATGTGTATTTGATAGCTAACGGGGTGATGGGAGGAATTATTGAAAAAGACTGAGGTTTTATAATTTGTGTTCAAAGTAGAAGTACATTTTTCTGATTACAAAAGAAATGCATACATGTTATAAGAATGTAAATAATATGGAGTTAGTAAAAGAATCTGAGTATCATTGTCCAGTCTCACTCCCCAGAAATAACTACAGACAATGAAGCTTTAAGCCTGAGAGACTGGGAGGCTTAATGGAAAGAGAGAGTGAATTTATAGGGACCAGGAAAGGCCTTATGGAATTAAGGAAGTCTGAGGGAATCTCAGAAGGATGATTAAGCTGGGAGGGAGGACAGTGGAGAGGACAAAGGTAACAGCTTTAACAAAGACAGGAAGACTTAGAAGGTGGGAATAGCAAATAACTTGGTAGGTTAATAAATTGTGAAGGGAGTATGATAAGAGATTTTTAAGCCTAGCAGTTAGAGGAACGTTTGTTGTCATGAACAGCACTGAGAGTGATTGAGAATATTGTAATATGATAATAAACCTAATGCTTGCATTTGTATGAATGTTCTCATGCCTGAGCCTCCCTTTCGCCCCGTAACACAAATATTAAACGTCTGGTCAGGATTGGATATCTAACAACTATCCATTTAGGTTGCTTCCCATTTTCTGCTACCATCAAGTATCCCGCAGTGAATATCTTTGTGTACATACGACAGTTTTCATAACTGTTGTCAAACTGCTTTCCAAAAGAGTTGAAACATAGACCTTTGGCAGTATGTGTGTGCTGTTTTGCACTATTCACTTGCTCATGTTGGGTATAATAATTAAAGTTCTTCTTTGCTAGTTTAATAAATGAAAAGTAGTACATTATTGTTTGACTTTGCACTGGGTTTGGAGTTCAAGTCATGGTTCCAACATGTTAACCATTCATGATTTTTCAAATCCATAAAGTGAAAATTCTAGACCTCTCACAAGATATATTGTAAGAACTAAATGAATGCATATGAAAGCATTTTATTGATTGAGACATAATAATCAAGTTATGATCTCCTAAGCAAAAAATAGGCAAAGGATTTGAATAAATAATTTATACCTGAAAAGGGAAGTCAGCTGCAAAAAACAAGTTAATGGGAAAATGTTCAACCTTACAAATGATGTGCTTATTATTTTTATTTTATAAATGAGAAAATTAACACGGATAGGTCAATCTGACAAAGCTATTTAAGAGCTCTCTCTGTTTCCTGTGTACCACATGGTTTTTAGTCTTTGTATTCCCCAGTGCCTTGCATATTATTTGCTAAGGAACTTTTTGAATTGACCTGAATAACTCTGGTAGGCTTTTCTGCGTTTTCTTGGTAACAATGACATGTTTGTTTAGTTTGAAGGAGGAGTTCCCTGCCTGGTATGAGAAGCTTGTTCTGGAAATGGTTCACCATAACACAGCCTCCTTAGAGAAGTTAGTAGATAGTGCTTGGTTGGAGATCATGACCAAATATGCTGTGGGAGAAGAGTGTGACTTTGAGGTGAGCTCCTATTTTTATTTCTTTATTTTTTAATGTGATTTGACTCACTGTATGTCAGGATTAGAGCTTCTAACATAGATTACAGAATGTATTTCTTCATGTGTAAAATTGTGTTACATTTGAAGTCCACTTTACTTAATATCAGATATTTTAAGGACCTAATTTTAGAACCATATTGATTATTGGGAATGTTGAATAGTATGATAATTGTTACACTGTGTACCAGTGCACTCTTGTTTTCCCTGTTTTATCCTTTTTTGATAACTCTATGCTATATTGTTTTTTTTCTTTTGTCATTTTTTTCATACCTTTAAAAGACTTTGAAATGTGTTTAGTCTAAATCCATGGAATCCACAGGCAGAAGATTTCATTTCACTACAGTAGTGATCGAGTTGACTTTTCTTTTCCTATTTAAATTTGTTTAATTTTCCAGCCCAAATAGCTCAAGGACAACTATTACTAAACTCAATGGGTGAAGTATTTACCTCACACTAAAGGAATCCCTATATAATCCTTTAAAAGCGTAAAGTAAGACTCAGGAGGAAGGGAACTAACGTTTGTTGAATTTCTGTATGTACTAGATACCGAGCTAGTTGCTTTACGTAATGTCTTAAAGAATCTGCACAGAAAGGCTGAGGTGGTAAACAGGCTCAGATGTTTAAAAGTTTGTTCAGGTTGATATACTAGTTAGTACTAGTGATTTTAGGTGAATGTCACGAAATAGCTGACTAACAGTACCAGAACTTCTCAGAACTTTACCCTAAATAAAAACACTTAGAAGATTTCTGAATATACATTCTTGGGCCCCATCCACTGAGAGCTTGGTTGAGAAGGTCTAGGGTAGGGCCTAAAAGTTTGTAGTTCTAACAAGCTCCAGAGTGTGATGATACGAACACTCTGGGGACATTTTGAGTAGCATTGGGTTAAGCATTGAAAACATTTGATTATTTCATGTAGTAAGTCTCAGAGGCAGGCAATTCCAACTTTGGTATAGAGGCTTAATACTGTCAAGGACCTAGACTCTTATCGTTCTGCCTTTCTACTCGGCTCTTCTTGGTGTGTTGGATTTTGTCCTTACCATGGCTTATATAACCACCCTTAGCTGCAAGGGGCCTGAGAAAGTGAATACTGCCTTTTTTTAAGGCCTCAAAAGAGACAGGCTCGCAAGAGAAAAGGAGGAGGGAAACAGCTTAGGTAACCCAACAGTAGCTAGTAAGTCTGTGTCTGTCTGGTTCCAAAGTCCTTGTTCTTTCCTTAATTTAGTTCTTTGACTCCCTGTGTCTCCTAGCTGCTTTTTTTATTTGTAATGTTTGGGAGATCATCATTGGGTGTTAATCACACACTTTATATCATTCAGTGTCCTGGCAGGAACAGATGGCATATTCAAATGGTGTAATTGAATTGAGTTTAGTAAAAGAACTGTAGACAACAGACAACAGTCTGATCTAGGTCAAAGAAAACTGACAAGGAAAGGTTAAGTACCTCATGGCTATCAATAGTGGAGAGGCCTTTCTACTTCTAAAACCTAAGTAAACAAGGAGAGAGAGTAGATACTGGAACTAGAAAAGAGTAATATAGTTATGGAGAAGTACTTTGGTAGTAAGATAAAACCAACCTGCTAGGGAGACAGTCAGAGGAATGAATACCCCAATATCGCTTTTCTTCCACTGTACGATTTTCTGCAGATGCTTCCTTTCCTGAGCTCACCAAAATCTAGAGGGCAAAGGAGCCCTTTGATGTAGTTCATAAAGGTCAGCCTGTTTCAGCACAGAGCCAGGTAGAGAAGACTGGAGATGGATTTGGAGTGGCAGAAGGAAAATACTCTGTACACATCTGCAAGGTGGAAGAAAAAAAGTTTGAGGAAAGGGGAGAGAGAGATTAGGGAGATATGTATATCCATAAACATGAAAAGATGTTTATATTCATCAGTAATCCAGGAAATCAAATTGAAACCATAGTGAGATCATTTTATACATATCACATTAGCAAATAAGAAAAAGTAAAAATAATGCCAAGTTTTTAGAAGAATGTGAAGCTGCTCATTCACTGCTAACTGTTTTGGTAAACGCTTTGGCATTACTGAATACAGTTGAAAATGCCCTATTCTTTTTTTTTTTTTTTTTTGGTGAAGTGTCTGTTCAAATCTTTGTCTGTTTTAAAATTTAATTTTTAATTTTTTCATTGAAGTATACAGTCAGTTTACAATGTGTCAGTTTCTGGTGCACAGCATAGCTCATTCATATATATACATACATATATTTGTTTTCATATTCTTTTTCATTATAGGTTATAATTTTGATTTAAATTGTTTATTTTCTTGTTTTTGAGCTGTGAGACTTATTTATATATTCTGGATACTAATCTTTTATTAGATACACACTTTTGCTTTTTCTTCCACTAAAGGGCTTGTGTTTTTATTTTCTTAATAGTGTCTTTTGAAGAGCAGAAGTTTTTAGTTTTGATGATGCCAAATAGAAGGCAAATACCTAACCATATCTATAATTATATCTAATATAAATGGTCTAAAAACTTCAGCTGAAATATAGAGATTGTCAGATTGGATAAAAAAGCAAGACCCAACTATATATATATGCCTATAATAAGGGGACAAATAAGAGTACTAGAAAACAATGAAAGAAAAGATACCATCCTAACATTAGTGAAAAGAAATCTGAAATGGCTATGTAAGTATCTGACAAAGTAGGGGTTTTTGTTTTTTGTTTTTTAGGACATGAATATTACCATGAATAAAGAAGCATTTCATAAGGACAAAAGAGTCAGTTTATTAAGAGGCTATAGCAGGCCTTAATGTTTATGTGTTTACTAATGAGCAGTTCAAAATACAGGAAACAAAAATAAAACTATAAAAAGAAATAGACAAATCAAAATTATAGTTGGAGATTTCAACACCCCCACCCCTTCTCAGTAACTGGTAGAAAAAATAGAAAATTAGCAATAATATAGAAAACCTAAATAACATTATCAACCAACTTGATCTAATTGTCACTTGTAAAACATTCCACCTAATAACTTCAGAATACTTTCCTTTCAAGTGCATAATTTACAAAGGTAAGACTGTACTCTGGGCCAAAAAAGTCAGTAAATTTAAAGGGGCTCAAATCACTCAAAGTATGTACTCTGACCAAAATGGAATTAAATTAGAAATCAGTAACAGATACCTGGAAACTCTGCAAATAATTGGAAACTAAATAACACACCTTTGACTTACTCATGGATTGAAGAAGAAATCAAAAGGGAAATTAGAAAATATTTTGAACTTAATCAAAATGAAAACACAGTATGTTAAGGGGGCAGGGGCTGAAGGTCAGTGGTAGAGCACATACCTAGCATGCACAAGGTCCTGGGTTCAATCCCCAGTACTTCCATCAAAAAAATAAATAAGTAAACCTAATGACCCCCCCCAAAAGAAAACAAGTATGTTAGAATTTGCAAGATACTGCTTTATAATAGTGTTTAGGAGAAATAGATAGCGCTATATGTCTATGTTAGGGGAAAAAAAAGTCTCAAATCATTGACCTTGGCTTCTACCTTGAGAAATAAGAAAAAGAGTCCAAAGGAAACAGAAGAAGGAAATTAGTAAAGATTGGAACAGAAATCAGTGAAATACAAAACAGGAAAACTGTAGAGAAAATCAGTGAAATCAAAAGCTGGTAATTTGAAAAGATCAATAAAATTGATAAACCTCTAGTCAAACTCGGTAAAAAAGATGATAAATTAACAGATACGAAGAAATTAAGTGGTATCCCAACAGCCTGCAGATAATGGCAGGATAATAAGTGAGTATAATAAACATCTTTATGCCAATAAATCTGACAACTTAAATGAAATGAACAAATTCCTTGAAAGACACGAACTATCAAAACCCACTGCAGAAGAAATAGAAATCTTTAATAGCCCTGTATCTATTAAATAAATTGAATTTGTACTTAAAGAAAACTTCATGCCCAGATGTCATCAATGGTCAATTCTACCAAACATTTAAGGAAGAAATAATACCAATTCTATATAAATGATTTCAGAAAATATAAGAGGAGGGAATTCTTCACGAATCATTTTATAAGGTTAGCATTACCCTGATACCAAAGCCATATAAGCATATTATAAGGAAAAAATCAGAGACTAAGAAAAAATAAAACTGTTCACAAAACTCTCTTGTAAACATAGATGTACAAATTCTAATGAAATTCAGCATTACGTTAAAAGGATAAGACATTGTAGCCAAGTAGGGTTTATACTAAGAATTCAAGGTTTTAAATTTGTAATTCTCTTTATTGATAAACAAGAAGAAAAACCATGAGTGTCTCAATTTATACACAAAAAGCGTTCGACAAAAACCAACCATTCTATTTTTAGGGTGGATAGTTAACTAGGTTTATTTATTTTTAGAGGAGGTACTGGGGATTGAACCCAGGGCCTCATGCATGCTAAGCATGCACTCTACAACTTGAGCTATACCCTCCCCCACGAAATCCAACAATTCTTAATAAAAACCCTCAGGAAACTGCAAATAGAAATTTCTTCAACCTGATAAACAGTATTTACAGAATAACCTACAGCTAACATCATACCTAATGGTAAGACTGTCTACTCTCCTACTCATATTTAACATTGAATGGGAGGTTCTAGCCAGAAAAAGGAATAAAAGGCATTCAAATTGGGAAGAAAGAAGTAAAATTGCAGACAACACAACTGTCTGTGTAGAAAATCTCATGGAACCTACTATAAAAGCTGCTAAAATTAATAAGTGAGTTTAGCAAGGTAGCAGCATCCCTTGGTATCCGTGGGGGAATTGGTTCCAGGACCCTGTGGATACCAGAGTTCACAAATACTCAAGTCCCTTACATAAAAGGATGTAGTATTTGTATTTAACCTATGCACATCCTCTGATATACGTTAAACCATCTATAGATTACTTATAGTACATAATACCCAATGTAAATGCTATGTAAATAGTTGCTGTTGTGTGACAAATTCGAATTTTGCTTTTAGGAATTTTCTTTTTTTTTTTAATATTTTTGATCTGTGGTTGGTTGATTCCATGGACGTGGAACCCATGGGAATGAAGGGCTGACTGTATACAAAAACCGATTTGTATTTATATGTGTTAGCAACAAACAATTGGAAATTGAAATATAAAAAACCAATACCATTAACAGTAACATCATAAAGTATGAAATACTCTGGGAGTAGATCTGACAAAAGATATACAAGATCTATATACAAATTATGAAACGTTACTGAAAGAAATTAAAGAAGACTTTAAATGATAGAGAGGTAGACTCTGTTCATTGGTTGGAAGACTCAGTACTGTTAAGATGTCAATTCTTCCCAAATTGATGTATAGATTCAACACAATTGCAATAAAATCCCTTTTTTGATAGGGATTGCCAAGCTGATTGTAAGGCAAAGAACTTAGCCATAACAACTTTGGAAAAAAAACAAAGTTAGTCCTAATACTATCTGATTTTGAGCCTTAAAGTATTAAGATGATGTGAAATTGGTATAAAGGTAGACTGGTGAAACAGAATGGCATCCAGAATTAAATACAAACACACACAACCCACTGATTTTTGATAGAGGTGGAAGGATAAATTAAGTGAAGAATAGAGAGTCTTTTCAACAAATGGTTCTGGAATAATTAAATATCCATATATATAGTTGATTTTTTTAAAAAATGGAAATTCTTGTAACTTTACCCTTTATATATCTCATTTATTTATGTATCTCAGTTTTGTGCAGTGGTTGCCCTTTTGCTTTAGTACATTGGTACATGAATTATGAACTAGATTGTGGTCATTTTATTTATTTTTAATGGAGGTACTGGGGATTAAACCCAGGACCTTGTGCATGCTAAGCATGAAGCTCTACCAATGAGTTATACCACCTGCTGTGATCATTTTATTTTTTTAAGATACCATATTTCATCCTAGAAGTCTGAGAAATTAGATTGGAAAAATCACCATACTTGGCTACTTTAGAGTTCAGTGATTTGACAGTGAAGTGGAGTGTAGATTGGATTATATATTCTAAACATTATCTTAGGTTTCTAGTTCTTATTATTCTCTTTGATTCTCTCTCCTGTCTCCCTTATAGGTTGGGAAGGAAAAAATGCTCAAGGTGAGGATTGTGAAGATTCATCCTTTGGAGAAAGTGGATGAAGAGGCCACTGAGAAGAAATCTGATGGCGCCTGTGATTCTCCCTCAAGTGATAAAGAGAATTCTAGCCAAATCGCTCAGGACCATCAGAAGAAGGAGGCAATTGTAAAAGAGGATGAAGGAAGGAGAGAGAGTATTAGTATGTATGATACTAGCTTTCTTTAGTGAGTTTGCACCTCTGCTTATTTTATTATGCACAAATCTTTTTGCTTTCTCTAGCAACTAAATTTGTAATTGAGGTTTGTTAATAGACATGCTTTTGTTCATTTATGATTCAGAAAACAACTAAAATACAAAGTGAATCAAGATGTAAGTCTCCCTACACATTGGGAAGTCATTTCCTCTAGTTGCTTAGAAATCTCTGTGCACATACCTAGCTACTCAAGATGGGAAAGAAAGTTTGTCTTCTTTTTCTCTTTATGTTGGAAATATGTATATATGTGTGGAAGGGGGATGATCCAGGTCGGGGACGGGGGCGTAAATTCTTACCTCTATTTCTCATACATGGCAAACCAGCGTGATGGTTTTGAGATACTTCCTTTTATCTATATTCTGTAACTCAAGGACCTCTCAGACGGAAGCTGCCAGAACTCTGAAAGACTGTGATATCGTGAAGTGATTTCTAGGGACCTGGAGACCTAACGTAGTGTTTTTGAAATTTGAAGAACTGAGACATTGCCCATTGGGAAAATTATTCATCCTCTGAGGCCTTTTTTTTTTTTAAATCTGTGTGAATAAGGAATTTGATTGGGATAGATTTCTTCTGTCTCCACAAATACGAGTTTTCAAAGGATTTGTGTGTATTGATCCCCTGCCCCACGACTGTTAGAGGATCAGATAATTTTACCTTATTATTTAATTGTTAACAAAGTTTGAATGAGAACATTTCATTAGAATGTTACGCTGTGTGTCTTCCATTCTATTTTGTATCTCTCCAGATGTTTTGGATTATGTACAGATGGTTTTTAAGGGATGTCCTTTTCTAGTCCCAGGGAAACTTCTGAGACTGTTGTAACTGGTCGACCCCAGTTGTTGATGTTTCAGTTTTGTTTCCCACTCTGCATATTGTGCATGCTGATGTCTATGTTTTTCAGTTTCTCTTTTCCTTCTTTTGAAATCGAAGTTTTCTAGCATGTGGTTACTTACAATTCCCATGACTTGAGGTTGATAAGTGTTTTGATTAGTTGTTGGCTGATGATATGTCTTCTAACACTTTTTCTAGAATCAGACCATTGGAATACCAATGAGGTGTTGCAGGTATTAGTTTTATGCCTTAAGCATTGTGTACTGGGAGTCCCTAGTTTTAGGCTTTGGCTTCATTTTTACGGCGTTATATGCCTTAGCTTAGGTTTTAATGTTGGAATATAATATTGCTAGTATGTGGAAAGAATGCTAGGTGGGCTAAAGAACTAATGTTATGATGTACTCATTGTTTCCAGGGGGACAACTGACCAGAATTTCATAGCAATATGACAGACAAATTCCAGTATACAAAATGTTTTCTCACAAGGTGACCCTCCTTTTCATGGTGGAGGAGGGGAATGTATTAGGCAGGAACTTCTCAGCTGTGTGTTCTTAACCTCCCTGTTAGAAATTTCTGTATTCTTTCTCCGTCTTAGAAGGTAGCTGTCCTCCTTCTTGGTCAGGATACTTGTACTTCGAATTCTGTTGCCTCCTACTTTCTCAAGGGTTGGGTTAACTTTTATTATTCTGCTCTACAATGTTTCTAACCCTCTTCTCTTATGATTCTTCTCAACTTATAAACAAAGTCCCATTTTCTAAAAAACGAGAACATACCCTCCCTTGAGCCTGTTGTTCTCTTTCTGTCTTATTCAAACCAAGATTCTTGAGATTGTTGTCTCCACTTTCTGACCATCAGTTTATTCCTTTTTTAAAAAATTTGTTGTTGTTGTTGAGGGTGGTGGAATTAGACTCCTGAAACTGTTCTAATAAGGTTATACGTGACCCCTAATTGTCAGACCCACTGATTTCTTCGTCTGTTTTACTTTTACATTGTTCTACATTTAACGCTATTGGTCGCTCTCATATCTTTTAATTTATTTGATACCAAAGTCTCCTGTTTCTCCAACTACTTTTCTGTGTTTTTTTTTCCCACTCCCCCCACCCCACTATTCCTTCAGTTTTTTTTTTTATTTGTTCTGCTTTCTTTTCATTTTTCAACACATCATCTGCTTGGTTTCTAACGTAGAAAAGTTGGAAACCTTTAACATTCCCACATTTAATTGGTTACCAAGTTTATCTTCTTGACTCTTCCTTCACCATTCCTGTTACATTAATTCAGATGTTTAGGATTGTATCTTTGTACCTTATTTTCAGTCTCACCTTTTAATTTTATTCATTTTCTAGCTGCTGAAAGTGTTTTTTCTTTTTATTAATTACTCACAGTAGTGCTCTTTCCAAAATGTCCATCTAGTTAGACCAAAAATCCTTTGTTTTCCTAGGGCCCATAAGACAAATTCCAGTCTATTTAAATGGTAAACAAGGTTCTTTATAATTTGGCCCTTACCTTTGGTCTGATTTTTTTTTTATTTTTGTGCTATAGATCATATTCACCTGTGTCTCATTATTTGCAGTCTCTGAACAAGTCATATTTTTTCTGGGCCTTCCCCAGCTATCTTCTAGACTAAATTAGACAGTGCTTCTCTCTTTTTGAATATTTTTCTCTCTTCTCTAGTATTTTTCTATGTCAACCTCTATTATAGTATTTACCACATTATATTGTAATTATTGTTGACTCCTCCCATAGATTTAGCTACTTGAGGTAAGGACGTATGATTTATCTTTGTGCCCTACCACTCGGTGCCTGGTTGTAGAGTAGGTGTTTAGTAAGATTATTGTTAATGAATAAATGGATAGAATTAAAAGAACTTTTTAAATTTATTTTTTATTGATTTGACTAGATGACAGAGCACGTAGATCTCCACGAAAACTTCCTACTTCACTAAAGAAAGGAGAAAGGAAATGGGCTCCTCCAAAA